TTGTTTCTGTTTTTGTATACACATTTATTGCAAGTTTTGTTTTGTTAATTTTTCGTACCTTTTAACCTCCATTTAACTACCACATCAATGCATATATGCCAATATTATTTAATTTATGTGAATTTAGTTCTTGTTTGGTTTAAAAAATTGTTTGTTTGTTTTTTTTTTCTTTAGTTTTTTTTTGGCAACTTTGAAATACATTTCGTTGTTGGTTGCAACAATGCATTCTCTCATTTTTTGCTTGTTTGTTTTGTTATTATTATGCAATATTCGTATTATTTTTGTTGTTGTTGTTGTTTTTGTCACGTGCATTAGTTTAAAAGGAATATATGTACATACTTGAGAGCGAACTTTGATGTATGACATACACATTTAGTTAAATATTCAATTTATTTAGTTCCATGCTTAAAATTGTGTGTATGTGTGTGTGTGTGTGTGTGTGTGTGTGTGTGTGTTGCGTTTGCTTTATACATTCTTTTAATTCTTTCGTTTAATTTGCTTGTATATTTGTTTTAAACATTTATCATTTATCTATGTGTGTGTGTGTGTGTGTGTGTGTGTGTGTGTGTGTGTGTGTGTGCGTGTGTGTGTTTCGCTCATTTACGTACTCGTAACTTAATAACATTAATACAAAAAAAAAAACAACATTTTGTATACATATACATAAAACATTTGTGTTTTCTTTTTCGGTTTTCTTTTTTCTTTTTTGTTGGTTTTTTCACGACTTAGCTTAGTTTTTCCTTTGGGTTTAGTGTTAAATTACTAACTACTTATACAATGTAATGTTAACTTGTTTTACTTGTTTTAATTTGTCCGTAAAGTTTTCGTTTAAATACTAAATTTTTAGTTTTTCCCAATTTTCCAATTTTCCACTCTCCATTTTCCATTTTCCATTTTTCCCTCATTGCCTGTCTTCTGCTTTAAATCTGTGAACAATTTGTCTTCAAAAATATATACGTAATAATTAACATTTCGCTATTTTTTTTGCTTTTCTTTTTGTTGTTGTTGTTGTTGTTGTTGTTTTTCTTTCTCTCTCTCTCTCTCTCTCTCTGTACTCGTAATCGTGTATAAAATATTTTTACTACAAAAAATCACTCTTTGCAAATAAAACTCAATGCAATTTGTTTTCCTCTTATTACTGTTAACATTGTTTGCTTTTCCATATTTTTTTTTCTTTTCATTTTCTTTGTTTTTTAATTGTTTTTGTTTTGATTTTTGTAACATAACAAGCTTAAAGCGATTACATTTAGTAATTAATTAATTAATAGAGTTCCAACAATCCAATTGTAGTAGACAGAAATCAAGAAGAAGCACGCGCATGTTTGCCAGTGCTGCCAATTTCGCAGAAATTGGCCTTTTTTAGAGATCTTCAGCAGAAACTGGCTGAATTTTAAACCGTTTTAGCGATTTCTTGTCTGTTTTGTGGCCAGAAATCGTATTTAGCTACTTTTAGCTGTTTTACCAATTTACCAGAATTTGGCCTTTTTTAGAGATCTTCAGCAGAAACAGGCTGAATTTTAAACCGTTTTAGCGATTTCTTGCCTGTTTTGTGGCCAGAAATCGTATTTAGCTACTTTTAGCTGTTTTACCAATTTTACCAATTTACCAGAATTTGGCCTTTTTTAGAGATCTTCAGCAGAAACTGGCTGAATTTTAAACCGTTTTAGCGATTTCTTGCCTGTTTGTGGCCAGAAATCGTATTTAGCTACTTTTAGCTGTTTTACCAATTTTACCAATTTACCAGAATTTGGCCTTTTTTAGAGATCTTCAGCAGAAACTAGCTGAATTTAAAACCGTTTTTGGCTATCTCTTATTTAGCTACTTTTAGCTGTTTTTAAGATTGCAGTATTTCTTTGTCGCGGCGCTTGGCAACACTGGTTTGCATGTGTTTTTGTTTATATTCGTGTGTACCAGGGCTGCAAACCGTATCAGGGCTGCAAATTTATCTCATCATATTTGGAAGCTAACAATTTTGGCTTGAACTCAAATTTAGAGATTTTTTTTGCGAAGAATAACATATTAAATTTGATTAAAGTATACGAAATTAGCGTTTGCAGCCCTGGTATGCGTGTTTTGGTAGCCCTGACTGAACCAGCTTCTCGGCATATTTCAGTATTTGATAAAGCTTAAAATATTTCCCTTTCGACACTCTAAACATTTAGAAGACACACACAAAACGTAGATCAACACAAACATTTAAGTATATCAATTTTTTAGCTTTGATTTTGTTTAATGAAAAATGTTTATATTTAGGGGAGTTTTTTTTTTTTTTTTTTTTTGTTAAATTTTCGATTTTAAAGTTTTACGCAATTCGCCGATTTATTTAGGTTTTTTTTTTTTATTTATGTTTCTAAGTTTTTAAATATTTGTTTTTATACTTTTCAAGCAATTGGGGTTTTTTTTGTTTTTTTTTTGGTGCTATATCCCGTACCCAGGCGAGTGTGAAAACAAGGTTCAAAATCAAAATCAAGTTTTGAACTAAAGATGCAGTGTTAACAAACAGCATGCACAGTCTAGTCAAAGTGTTGGAAAGCGCTCAGACATGCATTCGCAGTTCGTTTCGACTGTGTTTAGCCATATTGGCTGCTGAACAGTGTTGTGAAACAAAAACGGATACGTGTTGTGCAACGCACACGCTTGCCAGTTTGCTGAACAGTGTTGTGAAACGCACATGCATGCATGTACTTATTGTTTTTAGTGTTAACTGAGTACAGTCAAAGTGTTGGAAAACGCTCAGACATGAATTCGCAGTTAGTTTCGACTGTGTTTAGCCATATTGGCTGCTGAACAGTGTTGTGAAACAAAAACGGATAGGTGTTGTGCAACGCACACGCTTGCCAGTTTGCTGAACAGTGTTGTGAAGCGCACATGCATGCATGTACTTATTGTTTTTAGTGTTAACTGAGTACAGGGATACAACGTTTAAAGTGGCAACCCTGCAGAAGCTTTAGGTGTGTTTATCCAACAATTACGTATTCTGTGCTCGCCTTGCCAGGGTTGTTCAACTTTCGGTATTCCGAGTATGTTTTTCTCAAAGGGGCAAAAGAAAATGGAAAAGCCTGCACTACATGCGATCGAAGAGTTAACTAATTGATCAGTTTGGCAAATTAAAGTGAAAGCGGAATTGAATTTAATAAAGATTTCTCTTCAAGTTGAGGTTATGTTTTTTCTTTTTATATTACTTTCTTTTCTTTTATCGTTTTAAGCACTTGTTTATCCAAAAAATCAGGAGAAAAAAATGTATATAGTATATGTATATATAAATTTTGGATGCATGTATATATATATATATGTATATATATATATATAGATCAATAATTGTATGTATATGTACGTGTATATGCAATAACATTCATATCGTAATCATAATAATTAAGTAAATACATACATATAAATATGTTTTAATGTGTATATGTTTAGCAATGCGTAATTCTCAATTCTCAATTCTCAATTCTCATTTCTCAATTCTCATCGCCCTTGAGCCTTGCCTGGAAGTGTTCGCAGTTCGATTTCCAACTCGATTCTCACTTTGTATATATATATGTCATTTCATATATATATATATATGTGTGTGTATATATATATCGTTTCACATTTAATTAGTTAGTTATGCCTTTGTGTATAATTTATTAAATACTTAGGAAACAACAACAAAAAAAAAAAACACATTTACATTTACGCTTGTTTTGTTAACATCATGTCACAGTTCCATCGAGAAACAATTACGTGTGCTCTAGTCGAGCGTGCCCGACTAGCAGATGCCCCGTACCCAGATTTCAAGCTTCTTCTTCCTTTCGCCCCATACTACGTATGCGAAATGCAAGCTGTGTTAACTTCGGTGCCTGTAGTCCGATCTTTATCAAGTTTTCAGGGTTTCAAAGCGTAGGGCTGTACCTGAAAGCTGAGGTTCTTCCCAACTTTAGGCAGAATAGTGAAAGGTATCTAAAAAGTGAACAAAGCCTGAATATCGATAATTATCGATACTATGAAGAAGGTATCTAAAAAGTGAACTTTGAGTAACGCCTGAAGAACAAAGTCTGAAAATCGATATTTATCGATACACCTAAAATAGAAGGTATCTTAAAAGTGAACTTTGTCTTGCCTGCGTATGCTCTCGCGAGAACCTACCCATAAAGTTTGGTTTATTTGGCTCTGATAATCTTCGAGTTATGCCAGAAACACATATTTCGAAAATCGATACTTATCGATACTATGAAAAAGGTATCTAAAAGTGAACTGTTTTTTTGCCTGCATAAAGTTTGGTTCATTTGGCTCTGATAATCTTCGAGTTATGCCAGAAAAACAAAGTCTGAAAATCGATACTTATCGATACCATGAAAACAGAGGGAGATATCGATTAAAAATGAATCTGCATATGTTATTGTTAGATTTGACGGACGGACATCCGGACTTGGCTGGATCCTCTTCAAGATTCTCACCTTTTGCCTGTTGCACACAGTTTTGCAAAAAGATTATATAATTTTTTGTACACATTTTCAAGTTCAAAAATTTCAGGTTCAGGGCATGCAAATAACAACTGAGACCGTTTTTTGTTTTGTTTTTGTTAACATTTAAAACTTATTTTTAAGCATGTTTGGCTTTTCGGATTCACGTTTAGTTTTATACAAATGTTTTTCTTTTTTTTTTTGCTTTGAATTTCTTTTAAATGTTGTCCTTAGACTGAACTTCTTTTTTCATTTTCCTCCTGTCTAATGTTTGTTTTTTTTTTCGAGTGAGGCGCTTTGGGCGTTGGTTTTGTTTTTTTATACGTTTTAGTTTTAAATTGTTTTTGTAACTTTTAAAAAGCTTTCAGTTTACATTTATTTGAAACATTTCTTTAATTGCCATTCGGCATCGTTTTGATTAAATATACACCTATATTTGTATATATATATGAAGAGTTTTGCAGAGTTTGTCCTTTTTTTGTTTTCCAAAAAAAAAACAAAACATAAAAAATCATTTCTTCAATTACAGATTGATTGAAGATGATTGATGCTGCGGGCAGGACTTAAATGTTTTCAATATTTTGGAATGCAGGATTAGCGGCAAGGCCAACAATATGATTCATTTCCAAGCGCTTCAGAGCACCGTTTCCATTTCGGCGATTTCCGTTTTGTAGGACCTTTCGATTTTTGGCAGCAGTTTGGCAGCAGTCATCGGAAAATGTGAAACGAGATTCCGAAAAGTTAGTCGAATATAAAAATAAGACACACACGAACACAGACAGAGACATATGAATATTGTGCAATTACATTATGCATGCGAGTGCAATGGGAAAGGACAGGAAGGTAAGTGAAAAAAACTATTACAAATTGAACAAGCTGGTCGAGTCGGGTATGTCCGACTCGCAGATACGCATTACACATACATTCTTCTTCCCTAAGACCTACTTAAGAAATGCTCTCTTAATATATATATCTTCGGTGCTTGAAGTCCGATCGTTATGAAATTTATCGGGGATTAAGCATGACATGCAAGGTGTGCATATGCCCCTACCTTTACACATGCGTTGTTTCTTTTTAAATTATGGAGGTAATGGAGGCGCTCTTAAAAAAGTAAAACGTTTTCTATGTCTATATAAAAACTATATAATCTCGTATAACAATGAGTTTGATGTAGCTAGCTTTTGAATGCTTGTAAACAGCAACCTTCCCTAATCGATATTTATCGATATTATGACAATTGGCAGGAGATTTTCGAGCACTTTGATTAGATTGAGTCAGCTTGTGATCCCGTTCCCATTTAAGCAATGCTTTCTTTGTTAAACTCGGTCCTTATAGTCCGATCGTTATGAAATTTATCGAGGGTTAAGCATGACATGCATGGTGTGCATATGCCAGGTCTCATGTCTCTACCTTTAAGCATGAGTTGTTTTTTTCAACTCTAGGGGTAATTCAGGAACTCTTTAAAAAGTCAAATATTTCTTATGTCTATATGCTATACGAGCTTGGTTTATCCTTCCTCTTGAATCCTTCTAGTTGTGCTTAAGAACCTTGTTTCCAAAATCGATATTTATCGATATTATGACACTTGCTAGCAGATATTCGACCTGATTAAGAATACTTTGAGGGGTTAATATTTCTTATGTCTATATGCTATACGAGCTTGGTTTATCCTTCCTCTTGAATCCTTCTAGTTCTGCTTAAGAACCTTGTTTCAACAATCGATATTTATCGATATTATGACAATTGGTAGGAGATATTCGACCTGATTAAGAATACTTTGAGGGGCTATCTGCCGAATACAGTTGCCCATCATCAATATGCCCCTTTTAGCAATCCTCAATGGGTTCAGGGTATAAAAAAGTGGTTCATGTGGTTCATTAGGGGAGCGCCATTATCCACTCGGTAAACATCGGAGCAAATCGATGGCATCAGTCATCATAGTGGGCCATCAGCTGGTCCATGGTCCATGGAAAACAAACGCGTGTCGGTCATTGCATGCGCATTAGTTGGCACACACACACACACACACACAGATGCGGATGCGGATGCGGATGCGAGGCTGCTCCAGATGGAGCACAGCATCAAGCAGAGGAGAAGCGATGCGAACATAACATCATCAATCAATCATCGATGAGGGGAAGAGCGCATCACCCAAGGGTTCAGCATGTAAATAAATTAGTGCCAAAAAGTGAATGTGAACATAGAACAAGTAGAGGAGCACGAGTTAAGGCTGCCCGACTAGCAGATACCCTGTGCACTCAGCTTAGTCGCTTCTCTCTTTTTTTGAATAGGTTTTGTGTTTGCTTTTTGGCAGTAAGAAGAGGGTAGTAAAATACCAATGCATGCCATATGTGTGCCTGACCTAAAAGCGATATTTATCGATTACGAGACAATTGAAGGAAGAACGTGAAAGCTGTCCAAATACTGAAGTATTCATGAGTTGCATATCGTATATTATATCAAATGTGGAGTCTATAGCGTGTAAAGGTTATGTTTAAAAAGCCATCTCCCAAAATCGATATTTATCGATATCATGAAAATGGTGGGAGATATCGACAAAAATATGATTGAATCCTTTTTTGAATGACATGACTAGAATATATGCTTATATTTATGTTTAAAAAGCCATGTCTCAAAATCGATATTTATCGATATCATGAAAATGGTAGTAGAAATCGATAATAATATGAGGAACTCCTTCTTCGTATGACATTATTAGAATATATTTTTTTTTGTTTTTTTTTTATATATATGTTTAAAAAGCTAAAGCTAAAAAGCCCCAAAATCGATATTTATCGATATCATAAAAATGTTAGAAAATGTCGTCAAAAATATGATAAAATCCTTCATCGTGCTTATGTTTAAAAAGCCATCACTCAAAATCGATATTAATCGATATTATTATAAACTCGCTGTTCGTATGACATGACCGGAATATATATGAGAACTTTCAAGTCTCTAGCTCAAATAGACAGACAGTCGAACATCGACTCGGCCTTTTATGTTGATCCCGAATTAATATATTCCTGGGTTGCCTGCATCTGTCTGTTACATCAATTTGCATACCCATTTTTTTGTGGCAGTTTTCAGTAGTTACAGGGTATAAGAATAGTTGATTTAAAGCAAACAATGCATGAGCATGCACATGTGTGTACACTATGTTTTTGTATGAGAGGGAGCTGCAAATATTCATAAGTTCGATGACTAAATATTGTCTACAGTTTGATGTTAAATATTGTCCGGAATCTGTGGCATCTGGATGTGTTTCTGGGCGAGTAATTGTGCGGGCTCGTTTCGAGGGCACAAAACACATTTGAATGGGGGCCAGCCTCTGTAAACCAGAACACATGTTGCTAAAAAACAACAGACAAAGAAGAAGCACAACGAATACAAGACATATTCGCCGTCTATCTGGCCCCAACCAGGCCCCTACCATGCCCCTACCGTGTCCCTACCGGGTCCCTTCCATGCCCCTACCATGTCCCTACCGTGTCCCATTGTTGGGCCGTCTATCTGGCTCTTTGGCCCCAACCAGGCCCTAACCATGCCCCAACCATGCCCTACCGTGTCCCTACCATGCCCCTACCGTGTCCCTACCATGCACCGTACCGTGTCCCATTGTTGGGCTGCTGCCGTTGGCAAAGTTTTTGGAATCTTTTCCTTCTTTTCTTTTACTTTCATTTCACGTGGGATGAATATAAATAAAAACATACATAATGTATGTATGCATATGTGGACGTGTACTTATGCAAATGCATTCATATTTTTGGCATATATATTTTGGTTGTTGTTTCGCAAAACTTTTTGGCGGTTTTATTCATGCGCTTAATTTGCCCAATTTGTTGAAAAGTTTTCACCCGAATTTTCGTGGCATGCAGCTTAAACATGCCACGCCCCGCCCGCCCCCCGCCACTTAAAAAGAAAAACATAAAAGGGCTGTGTTTCGCCTAATCCGAAGCGTGAGCTGAAAATGTAAACATCATTCACTGACCTGGCAAAACAATTCGCCCTCCAAATCATCTAACACATGTTCATATGCAAATTTATGCCACAAACAGACCGCGACCCCCGACAAAATCCCGCCCCCTCAAAAGTTGGTAGAGTATTTCTGCTGTTTGCCAACTGCTGCTCATTGTTTAAACAATAAGTGCAGCTGATACTTTTCATGCCGCAACACAAAAATACATTTAGCAAAAATATTAAAATTATAAAATATATAAAATAAGCGAGAACTTTGCAGTCGGGTGCAACAGACTGCGTCATACTCGCTCAGAGTCCAATATTAAAGCCTGATACCACTGTCAACATTCAACATCAAAATGACAGATTTAGGTGCCAAATGGATCAAGAGACCAAACCATGAAATAAGGGCTAAGCCTCGTGAATATCGGATGAAATTTGACCGAGTTATGGGGGTGGGAAATTTCGACCTATGTATGTCTATATAGTAAGATTGGGGTAAGATTTTGAAGCGAATTTCGACTAAAAAATATATGTTCAGATTTGAATGCCAGATTAATCTAGAGGGAAAACCATGAGCAAAAAGTCAAACCTCGGGCAAATCTGATGATATTTGACAAAGTTTGGGGTGGGAAATTTCGGCCTATGTATGTCTAAATAGTAAGATAAGGGTAAGATTTTGACATGAATTTCGACTAAAAAATATGTGTTCAGATTTGAATGCCAGATTAATCTAGAGGGAAAACCATGAACAAAAAGTCAAACCTCGTAAAAATCGGATGAGATTTGACCGAGTTATGAGGGTGGGAAATTTCCGCCTATGTCTATCTAGGAATCTTGGGGTAAGATTTTGACATGAATTTCGACTAAAAAATATGTGTTCAGATTTGAATGCCAGATCAATCTAGAGGGAAAATCATGAGCAAAAAGCCAAACCTCGGGCAAATCGGATGAAATTTGGCCAAGTTATAGGGGTGGGAAATTTCGGCGTATGTCTACAGAGGATTCTTGGGGTAAGATTTTGACATGAATTTCGACTAAAAAATATGTGTTCAGATCTGAGTGCCAGATTAATCTAGAGGGAAAACCATGAACAAAAAGCCAAATTTCGGGCAAATCGGATGAAATTTGACCGAGTTATGAGGGTGGGAAATTTCCGACTATGTCTATTTAGGAATCTTGGGGTAAGATTTTGACATGAATTTCGACTAAAAAATATGTGTTCAGATTTGAATGCCAGATCAATCTAGAGGGAAAATCATGAGCAAAAAGCCAAACCTCGTAAAAATCGGATGAAATTTGACCGAGTTATGGGTGTGGGAAATTTCGACCTATGTATGTCTATATAGTAAGATTGGGGTAAGATTTTGACATGAATTTCGACTAAAAAATATGTGTTCAGATTTGAATGCCAGATTAATCTAGAGGGAAAACCATGAACAAAAAGTCAAACCTCGTAAAAATCGGATGAAATTTGACCAAGTTATGGGGGTGGAAATTTCGGCTTAGGTCTATAAAGGATTCTGGGGAAAAGATTTTGACATGAATTTCGACTAAAAAATATATGTTCAGATTTGAATGCCAGATTAATCTAGAGGGAAAACCATGAACTAAAAGCCAAACCTCGGGCGAATCTGATGATATTTGACCAAGTTATGAGGGTGGGAAATTTCCGACTATGTCTATCTAGGAATCTTGGGGTAAGATTTTGACATGAATTTCGACTAAAAAATATGTGTTCAGATTTGAATGCCAGATCAATCTAGAGGGAAAATCATGAGCAAAAAGCCAAACCTCGGGCAAATCTGATGATATTTGACCAAGTTATAGGGGTGGGAAATTTCGGCCTGTGTCTATTTAGGATATAGGATAGGCAAATTGTCGTTATGGCCGTCGGGTAGAGATGGTGGCAAGTATTGCGGGTCGGCATGGGTTCAAGTCCGTTTGGGGAGAATTTATTTAATATTTTTAAAATAAAATAATTGAATTTTCTTATTACTGCTAAAGCGAGCGCGCGCTCTTAGTGCGAGCTACATTTGGTGCTGGTAGAAGAGGGTTCAGGGTATCCGCTAGTCGGGAACTCCCGACTAGAGCCTCTTACTAGTTTCTGTTTAAAATATCTACTTTCGGAGACATGCTCACAGTGAAGGAGAGCTTGGAATTCGTTTCTGTTTATCAAGATATTTTCTGATTCATAATTCTTCTCACATATTCGTTAAGGGTATTTAATCTGCGGCGTGTCGTTCTTGCCTTAAATTTAAATATATTTCTAATTGACTGTGACTGTCCAATTAAGTATGAAACGCCGTTTTCTGGAATAATTATTTTACTGCCAAAATTCATGGCGAAATGACAAAAAGTTTTTGGAGACACGTTAAGTACACAAATCCCCAACCTTGGTAACTTTTTGGTCGAAACTCGAGCGATTCTCACGGTTGATGGCATTTTTTGGACGCGGCATCGATTGAATCTGCATAAAAGTGATGCATTTCTCTTTTTGTTAATCCCCGCAACGAGCTGGACGCATTACACAACCAAGAACAGAAAAAGGGCCACTGATTTTGATTTGATTTGATTTGCTAATCTCGGCAGGTTTTGTGCACTGGACGAGTTTGGGGTTTGGTTCATATGCAAATGTTTGTGGCCCAAACGCGTAACCTATGCTCCTTCGGTCCGCTCGGCTTGGTTCGGGCTCGGTTCGGGCTCGGTTGCAGGCCAAATCCAAATGAATGACAACAGGAACTGTCGGAAATTGTCCTGCTGGTGCGACTATGACAGAGACTTTGAACGGAAGGACAAAGGCAGAGGCTGCTCGTCTAGTGTGCGTCAGAAATCAGGAAGGACGACATAATTTAATAAAGTAATTTCCATATATTTTTATTAGGCCAGGCGGAAGGCAGCTGCACATAGTCATTTTGCCCCGCAGGAGGCCAATAAGTAAAAGTGACCCGACTTGCAGATACCCTGAACCCAGCGCCAGGCAAAGATTCTCGCTCCTTTTGCATATTGATTGTTGATTATCATCGGTGCTTATAGTCCGATTTTAATTGAATTTTCAGCGCATAAGTGTGCAAAGCCCAAGGAACATGTGTCTACCTTTAATAACTTTTACTTTTCTGAACTTTTTCCTATTAAGAGAAACATCCTCAAACTTTATATTCCATACGAAAACCTATGTACTAAGCTTGGTGTATCTAGCTCTGTTATTCTTCGAGCTATGCCCAAAAACCATGTTCCAAAATCGATATGGATTGATATTGTGAAAACGAAAGAAGCTAACGTGTGATATATTCTTGATTAAGCTCGGTGCTTAGAGTCCGATTTGTATGACGTTTCCAAGGCATGAACATGGTTCTACCTTGGATATTTCCCTTTTTCAATTTACTCGGGAGGCGTCTCCACTAAGTGAGAGATCCCTTAACTATCTTCGAGTTATTCCAAAATCTATATTCATTGATGTTATGCAAATGGAAGAAGGCATTGATATTATGAGCTCGTTTTGAATTTAAGGTCTGAACTTTCTCTAGTTCCCTAGATCGATGGGTCCATAGAGACGAAGAAGGTTTTATCTCTACGCAGTTCTGATCAAGAGTATTTATACTTCTTCCGAGGAGAACGACCATTAAAAATGTTCCTTTTCCGGGGAATAGAGACTTTACCTTGTCTCTGCTCTCGATTATATATGCTCCTTATTAGGTCAGAGGTTCGCTTCCTTCTGCGTGTTACATACTCTTGCTCAAAAATATGATACCCTTTTAATCAATTTCAATCGGTTCAGGGTGCAAATGTTATCATAATCAATTGCTTAATTAAATTACTGTCAACGGACTGCGGAAGGTGGACAGGACTTTACACAACCGAAGCTGTCAATCGATGAAGCTATTGTTGCACACACACACAGACACACAGAGACACAGAGATAGTTAACTACAAAGGGAAACTATTTGGTTGCATGCGGGATGGGGACACACACACACTGTAATAAAAAACTTACCACCTGTATAGATCTTGTGCGCTGGCAGCCAGGCTGAGATTTCCGAGCAACGGCGGTCGCTCCTTGAGATGATGATGGTTGAGCAGATCCGAAGATGAGGCCAGCCTAAGGAAAACCGAGAGAAAAAAAACCACATGGAAGATATAGAAACCATTATGATAAGTGTCTCAAGTCGAGTAGCTCACCTCAGTTGCGGCGCCTTGATGCCGTGCTTGTCCATCACCTTTTCGAGCTGACGCACCCGGAGTCGGGACATGTCCAGCTCGTGCTTGACTTTCCAGAGGTGCGTGTCGCAAATGGGATCGTTGCAGCGATGCTTCTTTAGTATTTCGGTTGCCTCGTAAACGGCGCCGCGAAAGGTCAGCGACTTGCCCATGGACAGGGAGATGAGCGCACAACAATGACCGCCATCCTTCTTGGCCAGACGCTTGCGTATGTACTTGAAGTAGACGTGCTCCAGCAGCAGCAGCAGGGCGGCCAACAGGATGCCGGCCATCAGTAACAGGAAGGCGGACAAGAACTGCTCGAGGGCCAGCGGATCGGAGGACTTGTGCTCCTGCTTGCCCGGCCGGCAGGTGCCTGTCATCCAATAGCGACGCAATCGCTCCAAATCGCCATTGGCCCGGAATTCCAGCAGACGCTTGTTGAACATCTGCACGTACTTGGAGTTGCGGCTGAACGCCAAGCCATAGCCTGGAGAGCGTCACGGAGGATTACAGGATTACAGGCAGCAGGACGGGTACGGGACGTCAGCACTTACCGGTCATGGCGTACCAGCTGCCGACGGTCATCAGGCGACAGTCCTCGTCCTGGGCAACCAAATAGTCCAGCACGGTGCCGTCATAGATAAACGAGTCCAGGTTGCCATTCAGCACAGCGGCAACGCCATCGGCAACGCTCGTCTTATTGTATCTGCGGCAAGGTATAACAAATTCGGCTTCAGATCAAAGAGAACCCTCCATACGATCACTTGGTACTCACTGCTTCATGTAGTAATGCATCTCCTTAAAGTATTTGTGAATGGTGGAATCCGTGTGGCTATAGGGTATTGTGCCGAACTTGAATGAGGGCTTGTGCGAATAGGGATGCACCAGGCGGCTATCGTTGAGTCCACTAAATTCGTGAAACTCCTCTCTGCAAAGAGTTGAGCGTGTCGAGTGTTGAGTGAGGCGCCGTAGCCGTAGAGTTGGATACCAACCTGGTTATCATGAAGGCCGCCAGGTTGGCAGTGTAGATGGCAAGGAAGACAACGGCGAACAGAGCCCAGACATTGGTCATGAAGCGCGAGGTGAAACCGCGTGGGGAGTCCACGTGAACGGCCGCTTGGAAGAGAACCGCCCAGACAAGCCAGTAGGTGCGAAACAGCGAGAAACGGTAGGGTGTGACGTTTGTGTTCTGTAGGTACAGCTTCATGTCGTAGCCGCTGGGCGACAGCCACTCGAACAGGAATATCATGAACGTGGCTGCCTGAATGGCAACGATGCCAACCTGTTGTTGTGGGGAGTGGGAGCAAGCAGGAAGGAATGGACGAAATGGACGTAGCGGTACGGCACAAGCGGTACGGCACAAGGCGAAGGCAGAAGAGAGAGAGAGAGAGAGAGAGAGCGTATAGAGTAGAATAGTTGAGGGACTTACCGGACAGAGAGTAGTTGAGACCAGTTCGACTTACCAGCATCCAAGAGGCCGTATCGAAGGGCTCCAGAAAGGCCGTGGGCGAGATGATGCCGGTGCGCTTAGCGACGACAATGGCAATGCCCGTCTCCATGAAGGGCTCGCTAAAATCGACGACCGCTTCGCGCTCGGTGTTGATCATGAGAGATGTGAGGACCATGTCCGTCTTGCGGTTAACCAAGTCGGCAATTAAACCATTCCATTTACCATTCTCAAGTGTACCCCATTTACCATCTTCAACCCGTACCAGCTCGTAGGTGAAGCCCAGTTCTTCGGCAAACTTTTCGAGCAGATCAATGCAGAAGCCGCTGCAGCATTGATAGAAGGACTCGTTGCGGTGTGCTTGACCCACATCAATATCGGCGGCCATCTCGTGATCGGCCGCCACACGGCAGAGCACACCGCGGTCCATCAGACACTTGCCACTCACTGGATCGGCGGGTGACAGATTGATATAGGGTGCCTCCTCGAGGAATGTGATCTTTAAATGGAATTTCTCGGGCACACCTTGCGGCGGAGCGTGCGAGTTACCTGGCCACGCAATGTCGCGTATATCAAGCTTCTGTGTCTCCCACGACTTCCAAACGCCAATCTGCGCGTGAGTGAGTGTGTGAGTGAGTGTGCCCCCCCAAAGAGGAAGAGTAAGAGCAATTATACAAAAGCGTGAAATGTGGAAGGTGAAAGGTCGTGGATTGTGGTAGTGTACAGTGAGGCATTGTGTTGCGAGTGCCAGAGAATAAAGTTAAGTTAAGTGTAAAGTGATTCGAGTGATTGGAACCATGCATAACGCTTCACATACCTCCTCCCAGACGAGATTCTTATTGTTGGCGCTGGGCCGCAGATTCATGATCTTTAGCTCGGCGGACTTAAGGTCGCCATCGGCGGTAAACTCAATATTCGGCTTGTTCAGGTCCCCCTCGATCGACACGTTGCGCAAATACTTAAAGAAGCTAACCAAACAAATTGAGCAAACTAAATTCGATTAGAGATTTTGTCGATACTCACATCTCGCCGTTGTCCCAACGACCGCGACCCTCGTCCTCGCACGATAGCGACTGGGTGGTTAGACGGCGATCGCGATTCGCCGGATCGGTTAGATACGCCTCGACGCCGTAGCTGTAGATCTTGATGGCATTCGAGATCTCGTTCATTAGCGCCGCGCTGCTCGTATCGAAATGGACGCCCAGCATGCCGACCGGGAATTGGGAGTGCGCATCCTTCTTCTCGATCACCGACTGGCTGACGACCCATACATAGTTCTCACCCGTCAACTTCATCTCCTCGGCGGCACGCAATATGGTAATGGCCTCCGTCTGTGTCGCATAGAGCAGCATGACGCGCGCCTCGCTGTTAACCAGCTCCATTAGATCGCTGGTCCGTGTGACCACAATCGAATTGAGTATGGTGAACTTGAAGTGATCCTGCATCTCGGCGACGCGCTCCCGCACCGCCTGGACAAAGTCATCGTGGCCGGCAATCTGTGACGTGACCACCGAGAACTGATGCCACTTGTAGCGCTCCAATATGCTCAACATTGCGGCGCTCTGGTGCTCGATGCTCGGCGCCAGCTGCAGCTGCAAGGTCGACTGCGACGCTCGTCGCTCCAGGCCCGAATTGTCCGCATTCCACGAGATTACCGGTATGCCCAGATATCCAGCCAGCTGCAGGAAATACTGCGCCGAGGCGGTGCTGTGCCCGAACTGTTCGTTGTTCATCATATACAGGATGGCCGACACGTTGACCCGCAGGAATTCCTTGCAAAGCGTGCTCAGGATGGCTGCAACGGGTAGGGTACAAACACATTAGCATAGGGTAATCACGCCACAATACACGCACTCGACGTGCCGCTGTGCATGACAAAGCAGGTCCCTCCATCCGTTACGGGTATTCCCCCTGCCCCAATCGAATAGACGTGCCCTCATTTAGGCACCATTCGCGCCCGCCGGCGACAATGTATGGAACACGGCCGCATTGGCTTACCCAACTGACCGGAACACATCCTTCCCACCCACCCAATCCGCGCCCTGCGCCGGCTCGTTGTGCGCCAATTAATTACAGATTAGCCAAGGCCTGAGCGTGGCTGGGTGGCAGGCATTTTGCTTTATTAGGTTATCAAGTGTCGCTGTGGGTGGGCAAGAGGAACGATTCGCACTCGCGTCTGAGGTGTTGAACGCAACTCAATTGGCGGTTAGCCTCGGGCCACGGCTCGAATTGGGGGAATCGACATTGGCTTGTGGAATTTGCCAGCAGCTGAAGGTGTATAATTTTTCTGCGGCTTCTTTTCCGGCACATATGTGTGCCGGAAGTGCCTGCCACGCCCACATTAATTGGCATATTTACATACATGTTTCGTTTAGTGCACGCTAAAAAATGTTGACTTGAAAGCATTTTGCTGTTTATTCGAAAACAATCAAAATATTGACTGAAAAGTTAAACCAATTTTGTGAGCTAAAGAAAGATTGATGGGTTGTTTTGAGAGTAAACTAAATTAACAAGCGATTTGTTGTTCGGGGGGTGTTCGACTAGCAGATACTCTGCAGACACTTTCTGCTGTTCAAAAGTGGAAGCTTCTTTGGCGGACAGTTTCCATAACCAAGTCCCTTATTCTTGTAGTCAGACAGATTGAAAGGCCGATTTGTTGTCCCATTAAAGAATTTTTATACTATTTATATGACAAAGTCATAATACCCCGTTCTATCAATTTTTCAAGGGTAGGGGTCAGGATTCAGGTTCATTAACCATTTCCAAGTAAGGAGTTAATATTTGTTTTTAATTGATAGTTAATTAAGTGCACTGCCAAAAACTTTAATCTATTATGAATGCTAGAGTTATCTGAGTTTTAGTCCTGGTTGGCAATCTAAAGTTCTTATGAGAATCGCAGAGAGAGTCCTACTTGGCAACCTGAAGTTCTTATGAGAATAGAGGGGGGAGGAGTATTAAAATTGCCATTCATATTAATTTGAGGCAATTTAAAGTTCTTTTGAGAATCGCAGAGAGAAGGAACATTAAAATTGCCATTCTTATTAATTTGAAGTTCTTATGAGAATCGCAGAGAGAGTCCCAATTGGCAATCTAGAGTTCTTATGAGAATCGCAGAGAGAAGGAACATTAAAATTGCCATTCATATTAATTTGAAGCAATTTGAAGTTCTTATAAGAATCGCAGAGAGAGTCCCAATTGGCAATCTAGAGTTCTTATGAGAATCGCAGAGAGGAGGAACATTAAAATTGCCATTCATATTAATTTGAAGCAATTTGAAGTTCTTATGAGAATCGCAGAGAGAGTCCTAATTGGCAATCTGAAGTTCTTTTGAGAATCGCAGAGAGAAGGAACATTAAAATTGCCATTCATATTAATTTGAAGCAATTTGAAGTTCTTATGAGAATCGCAGAGAGAGTCCCAATTGGCAATCTAGAGTTCTTATGAGAATCGCAGAGAGAGTCCCAATTGGCAGTCTAGAGTTCTTTTGAGAATCGAAGAGAGGAGGAGCATTAAAATTAACAGCCATATTAATTTAAATTTTTAATTCAATATGGTAAGGTGTTTGGTTAAATTGTGACATGGAATTTGAAGCGAAAAGAATTTTTTACCGTGTACAAAAGATGTCAATTAGGTGAAATTGAAAGGCATTTTTCATGACGAGGGATAGACACATTGTAATTAATTCATACGTATTCCCCGATGGCGTCGGGTGTCCGCTTCTGCCTTCAGGCAGACCCCGTCATCAGCATCAGCATCCGCATCAGCATCAGCATCAATCGATTTGGGGCTCATTTTGCAATAATGAGCAAACCGCCGCGGGGCCAGAGCCTGGCAACTGGCTGACTGACTTTTACAAAGGAGTTCGCCTTGCCTGGAATTTTCATTATGTGCCAAGGACAAATGCTTTGCTGGTTGGGATTTTGCTTAGTTTTGTACCGAATTTTTCGTAAAAAACAATGACCGGCGATAATTTAGAAAGTTTTGTAGATGGTACCACTAAAAAACCACTCAGCTCCAGGCGACTGCCGACTGGCCCGATGTGAGTGTGGATGACATGTCAAAGTTGAGACTTGAAAGTTGAGTGCGACACTTGAACAAAACATAACTTGGGGGCGAAAGCGAGAGAGAGAGAGAGGGAGAATGTGACACAACATGGCAGACATGTTGGAAGTTTTTTGCTGTACTACGTGAATCTTAGAGAAGGGTGTGACCGCAGGGTCGCATAGAGAGAAGGTGGAGCTGAGAAGCAGGAGCAAAGATTAGCTCAATGCGAAAATCTGAAATCTCATCAAAAAGTTTAATTAACTTTTTCATCACTTTGCTTCTGCTATTTGCATTCGAACGACAAAAGGAGGTGCTGCTAATTTTATCAACAGCCGTGCCGTGCCGTGCATTCAATTACCAGCAACACAGCCCGCAGCAGAGGCTTGATTTGATGGAACTGCCAGAGATAGTAGATCGATAGATGTATATGTAGATAAATAGATGGATGGGCGCAACCGTTCCGTTTGATGGATAGACAGGCCGAGCGAACGACCCTGGCCAGGACAGGGCTGCCATTCAATCGACAATAGAAAATCACTTAATAAAATTATGCCTTTTCCCCAAAATGGAGCCGGAGACTTAAAGGCTTACGCAGCGGGCGCCTGCAAGCCCCATTTGTGTACGGACTAGAGATGGGCATGGTTCGTGCTTTGTTCCGTGCCACGAAATTCGGTCACCAGCAATACGTAGAGTATGATCTCTAATCTGGCCTAGCGATAGATCTGGTAACAACAATAGTTCGCATGTTTCACCTAACCTGAAGTCTTCCGACGCAGGCTCAGTTCTCACTCAATTTGAGTTCTTTTAATTGTTTATTTTTTATTCGAACGCCAAACTTTGTGCCTAGTGTGCGGAAAACAATCGATTGGACTATCGATTATATCGATGTATTTGGTGTTTCGAGAAATATCGATAATTTTTTAAGGACCATCAATGTTTTCCAACACTTTTTGAGCAAAAGAAAGCGACAAGTAAAATAATTTTAAATGGAATAATTTTTATTTTGGCTTTTTTTTTTTTGGCAAATAAATGTCCTCAAAAATTCCAATCATCACGGTCGGATACTATACTGAAAACAATCAGACAATATATCGAAAAACCAAACGAGAGCTTACAACCTGTTCACATTTTTTTTTGCATTCCGGCGACGTGCACCGAATCAAAGAGAACATTTAGCAAAGCTGGTCAAATAATTTCAGATCGCCAAAACTTTAACGAATTTGAATCTAAGCCTGATCTCACATAGGGTTACTTATTTAAAAGTACTCAATCGACTATCTGTATGTTTATTCGCGACCAGGGCTGGACTGCACACATTTTTCGCAGAAGTTCCCAATTAGAGCACTCGTAATTGTTTTTATACCCTGAACCCATTGAAAATGGGTAAAAAGGGTATTATGTATTTGTGCAAATGTATGTCACAGGCGGAAGGAAGCATCTCCGTTCCCATTAAGTATATATATTCTTGATCAGCGTCAATAGCTGAGTTGATCTAGCCGTGTTCGTCTGTCTGTCCGTCCGTCCGTCTGTCTGTATGAACGCAAGGATCTCGTAACCTATAAGAGCTAGAGACTTGAAATTTTGGCTGTAGGTTCTCCTAGTGCCCGCACAAATCGAGTTTGTTTCCGATATTTGATAACTTGCCCCGCTTCCAAGTAATCGATAAAAATCGATATCGAAATCCAGTTTTTTGCGAAAATCTCGTAAGTTATAAGAGCTAGAGTCACCAAACTTGACATGAAGCTTATAGAATGGTATTTATATATCAAGCATCTTTCATTTTGTACCTATCGCCTGTTGGAAGAAGAAGAAGAGGGTTCAGGGTATCCCCTGGTCGGGAGCTCCCGACTAGAACCTCTTACTTGTTTTCGTTTTTAATTCGAATCCCGAATTTTCGTGTTCTTCGTGTTGGGGCACGCGCACATCTCTAGTGCTGAATTTGGTCTAAATGAATTTTGCTGTTGATGCTGCCACATTTGGCCACGCCCTCTTGGCAAGCTTTTTCGCCTTGTTCGGGCAGCCCTTTGGCTGGTTCCGGAAATTTACAGTTGGCAAAATTTAATTTCGAGCCGAATGAATTTTGATTTAATTACCAGGCGAAAATGTTTGATTTTTGTCAGATGGCCCCTGTTCCCTCCCGCTCCCCCCCCCCCCTCCCCTCCCCCCTTTGCCTCGCCCTCTGAGCAGGGCAGAATTTTCCTTTGGCAACACGCTCGCCTGTCCATTAAAACTTTAATTGTATGTATTAAACATTTTTAATTGCTTTTGAAATGGTTGTTGGCGCTCCTGTCTCGGTTTCCTCTGCCGCATCCGTTTATTTTTAATACCCTGTGCCCATTTAAATGGGTCAAAGGGGTCTCATCAAATTCTGTGCACACATTATACTCCTAGAAAATCTATAGTTACTTTTATACTTGCAACCCAAGAGGAGAGTCGATCCCCTTCGCTGCCTTGATTTAAACATTCCTACAAATGCAGGTTCCAAGTAGAGTAGAGGGAGCATAGGAATTGTAATTTTTAAGAAGATTAACAACTTGGCACGAGCAACGCCGGGTAATTAGCTGTTCTAATTGGCAAGCTCTCACTCGATTGCCATTGGATGCAAGATATCAGATTTGGTCTTAAAAAAAAAAGGGTAAATGTAAAAAATATAAATGCACATCTTAGTTTTTGCATAAAAAGTGTATAAGTGTAGGGTATCTGGTAGTCGGTCTCTCAGTTTTGTTCTGTTTCTGATGCTCTAATAAAATT